AATTTAATATGCCAGCTTTTAATTTTGATTAGTTTTGGTTAGACCAAGATGATAGGTCTATTTTGACATTTAATTGCTCTAAAGGTGTCGTTTTTTATACAGTAGGTCTGAAATTTTTGTGTTTTTATATTGATTTCCTGTCATTTCCCCGGGATCACAAAAATCGCATCTTCGCAATATCGATCTAGTTAGAGGTCAGCTATATATGTCTTAAATAACAGAGAGTCTAATACTCCCACCTGGGTTCCAAGTTCAACACTAAATGGTTCAAATTAGAAATTCCTAACCTTTAAAGTGTGATCCCTCTCTGTTACTCCAAGAAAGTCCAGTTCTTTTTGGAAAGGCGTATCGAACGCTTGGGAGAGGTTGTCATGATATTGCATGATTTCTGTTGACGCTGTTCTAGTTGAAAGATTTTTTTGAAAACCATGCTGCTCTTTAGTTATTATTTTTTCCTCGTCAAAGAACTTTTGCAATCTGTATTTTATAATTCAATGAAAAAATAACAATCTCAAGACTAAAGGCTGCGGCGTTAATTTTAAAACACTCTGTATATATTTTGTTGCATTATGTCAGTTTTTTTTAATAAATATATATTAATGGGGGTAACTCAGTCAATAACTAAATAAATAATTTTTTATGCAATTTAATTAGTTAAATTAAATTTTATAATAATACACAAAAAAAAATAGATGTTGTCAGCCGAAATGCTTAAACTAATTTAGACTTATACGGCAAAAATCGCCGTGCGAAAACATTACCAACGACAAAAGACACCTTTAACCGCCGGGTACCACATTAAAATGCGATTCGCGCGAATGGTAATCCTCCGAATCCTAACCTCGAAGCATAAAAGGTTACAGGACCGACCGGTAAGACAATACATCACACTCGACTAGTTCGGAATGAACCAAAACACCGGGATAATATGATAATGGGCAGGACCATCCTCGTACAGGAATACAGGCGATTATGCAAAACGGCCTCTTCTCTTTTTATTATTATTGTTATTAACCCCTCGGGCGTCCCGCCGCGCGGGCCTAAGACAAGGACCCGGGGTGGAAAAAAGGGTTAAATACCTTTTCCTTAATCTCCATCAGATTTTTTTTTGCATACATGCGTACCCGGAGACACCGGCGATGAGCGAATTGAATTTTTTTTTGCTTCGTCGCCGGCGGGTAATTTTTTTCGGCTCTTTTTGTTTCCCATGAAAAAAATAACCGGTCGGCTGCGGAAAACCGGTATATGGAAAATTTGCATACGGCCGCCGATCGACTACATCCCATTGAGAGCGTCTACTAATAAATCTCTTTACACAAGGAAATGATAAACAAAAAATGTAAGGGGTGATTTTAATTGAAATTAATATTAAACGTCATATAGCGTTCTTTTTTCAAAACTTTCTTGAAATTGAAGGTTCCAGAAACTTGAACAAAAAATGTATTAAGTAAATTGGTCAAAAGAAAATGCTAGAACTTACTTTTTACGAATATTTCTAATGTTAGCTAAAATCTGTACAATTTCAAAGCTCAAACAAATGCAAATCGTTTTGGTTTGCGGTTTGCTCTAGCTCTGGTGGGAGTGTTCAAATTTCTTTTTACGTCTCGATGATAAGTTGTTTCCAAATATTTAATATTATTACTTATTTTTCCATTAAAAATTACATTTAATCGCTAACTCGGTCACTTGGTCAATTGTTGGCGATTAACTAATTCAACTTATTTAACTATTGACTCATTTTTCACGTCGTTATCTGATTCTTGTCAAAGTCTATTGATTGCTGTTTTAATTACTTTAAATGTGTTAAATATTAATTGCATTGAAATTGTCTTGTTTAAACTCATCCTCATCCATTGCGTAGACGAAATCAATGCGTTAGGAACGAAGAAAAATACATTTTGCTACTTAATTTTATTCAATACTTAATAAAATTCGTTAGTGTGCACCAATTGATTAGTTTTGGTTAAATCAAAGAATAAGTAGGAGTGTCAGCAATGCCAGAATGTATTCCAAAAAAAGAAATAAAGATAAATAACATTTTATTTTGATTTTAAATATTTAAAATTACAAACAATAAATTAGTATTTAGTAAATTCCGGATAATTAGACAGCAATAATAATTACAAGATAAAGATATTGAGATGCCGTTTTTACTTGGTCGTTAAGTCAGAAAACTGCATAGATAAATAGTGGCTTCATATTCCTAAAAGGAGTTGCGCCGCTTCTTAGATACGCTCGATTCATTAATGCCTGTTGCATACTTTCTGCTACTACAACTAACTAACTAACCTCATCTGGGTCTTGTAATATTGAAAATGTTGTTCTCTCCTGCTTTCCACATAGACCCCAACCACTTTACTAGCATTTCTTTTATTCTCCTTACTATATTTTCTCGTTATTGGTTCTTGTCTTTTAATTATTTTCGTCTTCCTCCAGAAACCCTAAAGCTCTCAAGACCAAGATTTCTGCCACTTTTAGTTTTTTCTTAATGTCTTTTCGTCCTTGTTATTGCTTCTGTTGTATAGAATAAAGTTAGTGTAATTATACCGTGAATAATGGGCTAGCAAAAATCCTTTTTAACAACTCCAAAATATGGACATTTATTTGAGAAGAACATCCACCACCGCTTTACTTGCAGAAATAGCATTAAACAAAAAAGATTTGAATTTTTCTCAGCTTTAAGAAAATACTTCCTGTTACTATGGTAAACATTATAGAAACTGATCTGGTATAAAATACCTGAGTGTGCCTAAAAGTATTGTCAGGACACATCAGATTACACATTAAGATACAGAAAACTAGTGCTATAAAGGACCGGTTGCTAAGTCAAGGTGTTTTAGTATATTATTTTTACGTAATTAGACAACAGTTGTACGCTCCTCCCAAAACCAATATACCATAATCTTGTAATAAAATTTAAAAATAAATACTAAATGTATGTATTAAGTTTAATTATTAGTTTGTTACGTAGATAGAAGACATGCTGATCACATTTCCCTAATTTTTTAAATTTTTGCAAAGAAAATTATCACAGTTTCCTAATTTTATAATTCAGATCATAGCCACAAAAACTTTTAAATATATATTGAACGGTAAAGATCCAATCAGCGTACCTTTTAGTATGCTATATGCACTAATTTTAGTATAACAAAAGAACAATATAGGTGACTGTAACAATATGGCCGGAAACGTTGTACCATTCACAATAATACATACAATGATGAATTTAATACTGATTGATAAAGATCATATTCTTATATCGTACGTTATCGAGATCACTCATTTTTGGTTTTTTTTTGATAACATGATGGAGCAATTCCCCAACTGCTGCTACTTTACATCTTCCATTTTAAATATGACTTTGGCCCATATGAGTTGTATTCGATTTAACTCATAGAGATCTGATGATAATGATGATGTTTGTGTAAATTCACTAAAGCGAATAGTTCTTTCCCATGTTCCCTTCTAACTCCAATATCTCTGCTGGTAAACGGGTAGATAATCTCTCATGTTCTCCAAGAGGAAGTTGTTTTTTATAGGAGTCGTGACTACTAGCTTCCGTTGTCAGTCAGAACTACCAGAAGAAATCATCGCTTCCAAAGTGTACGTACACAATCATTAATCTTCTTCCTTTTCCAGATGATACTTTAATATACTACCATCAGCTTTCCATGAAGCTCTATTAATATTATTCATCTTGGCTCACTTTTGGTTCGATATAACCCTCACTTCCCTTCTTTTCCTTTAAGGTTTTCTTTCTGTTTTAACTTATTAAATGAATACTGTCTCCTTAGCCAAGATCGATCAAAATGGTCTCTGGTAGGAGGTAATTATTTCAATCATATATTATATTTCGTGAACGATTTTTGGTGACGACCTTACTGGACTGTTTTGGGAGGTTTCCACTGTCTTTCTTGCAATCGTTTAAAACTACTATTCTAGTCTCCTCTGTAACAGATTTCAATATTTTCTTGCATCGTAAAACTTGGGAGAAGAGGAAATGAAGGTAGGAACATAAGGAAGAAGCATTCGTCGACATCTTTTCTTTGGGAATCGCCGTTTTACTTGTATCATTTTTAACACCACTAGGAGTTGTGTTATGGTTAATTTCCTACCTAGGCCTATGGACGACCCACATGCAGCTATTAGATAATATAGTCGCTCTAAATACGATTTTCACACGCTTAACCCATTTCCCCAAGAAAATTTAACGAGCATATTTTGAGATAGTACAGCCGAAATAAAATGCCTTATCCAAACTTATTGACGATATATCAGGGGCTATGTTGTTTATTGAATGCCGCTACGTCATTAAAAACGCGATTTTAACTTTCGCGCATGCCCGCATTGAACAGACCTTCTCATTTTTTACTCATAGTTTCATAATTTTCATAGTTTTCAGTCTTATAATCAGACTTTAATTAGTCATTTTTAAAACATACAAGGAATGTAAAAAATACGAATTATTTCGATGGCTATAATTGAAATAGTCATTCCCCGTTTTCTATTCAGGACAGTGGCCCCATAACATGATTGTAATTACCTTTGAAAAAACGCGCGGGTCATATTATCCGACAAAAAGCGTCCCCACCTTCCGTTTACTCGACAAAAAAACACGCAAACTTGCAAGTCACCCGAAAGACACCCCTTTAGTCCTGGCGACCTTTTTTTTTTATTCGTCGCCCGGGGGCATAATCAAAAAAACATTTCGTCGAATTTATAGGACCAAAATTGACTAGACGCGGGCACCCATAAATCACCCCGGCTGCCGATGAATTTGTCTGCGACGCTAAACGCCTCTTTGACTTTCGTTTGTTTCTTACGTTCGGTAGAACAGAGAGAGACCTGGGGGAACGGCCGAGTCATGGCCTACCTGACCGACCGCGCCGTTACGGGCCTTTTGTTACTGCTCGGTACTTTCACCGATTTTCACGCCGGCTACCGTATATCTTTCCTTCGTATTTACGGTCACGTATATTATACAGAGAAAACTCATTTACCTCTTGGTTCCAGGACATGTAGTGGGACACGGCAGGGTCCATGTGCTCCGCCATCACGCTCATCCAGTGGACGAGACCTTGGGCTCCTTGACCTCCCATGCTGCCCGGCTGGGGTCCAGATGGATTGCCGCTTGCCTGCGACGTGTCCCATCCGAATGCTTTCTGAAAAAAAAAACAATCCTTCAAAGTATCGCCTGAACCGCTGGGAATCACAAACACCTTGGAGGGATGACCTAGATTAGAAGTACGACTCGCATTGCTTACATCAGAGTTCAATCAAATATCAAAGATTTAAGGTTGTTTATGCTCCTCAAAACCGTGTGGCGTTGAGACTGTAAATATCTTGTAAGAAGATTGAGGGAAATTGGAAACAGGACTTATTGGACAGAGTAAAGAACGAAGAACTGTATCCAAGACTTAGTGTCCTTAGAGTCAGTTTCAAGACAACAAGCGCAATTGGACTCTAGTGGAGGGTAGTCAACAGATATCCATGAGATAGATTTATCGAAAAAATCAAAGCTTTTGGACGAGATGTAAACCGTTCGCGGTCGGTATTGCTATTAACCGATAGACATAGAGAGCTACGTCTGGCATGGGTTAAAAAAAAACACTGGAATCATCGTTTATTTTCAGTGTTTTGTTTGTAAGCTCCTGAACAGTTTTTTTCTACAGAAGATCTGGAGAAAGGCCCCAATTTCAATACGTTACGATTTGGGGTACCATAACAGTATTCAGCAATTGGAAGATCCAATTTTTCAGTAAGGTAGTAATTTACATGACCTAGAACGACCACCTACCCTATCCACATCTTAAAGAATGATTCTGGATCGTCAATTTTCGAGACGTAGTTAAACCGTTATTTACGTAACTTTCATTGGACATGCAGCCATTAGTGCTATGTGATATATGGCGATCTTTGAAAATACAACTGGATGGTCAAAAACCAATGCGACATGATATCAGGCGAGCCCTATTTATTTTTCGCAACGTTAAAGGAAACCCAAAGGACGAAATAAAAATGAATAACGTCCGTTTCCGCTCCGCGAGCGGCCATTCTCCATATCGATCGCCTTTCGAAGCAAACAACAAATCGTACAACGACGAACTTTTTAATTCGTCAAACATTTAACGTTTCTAATGGTCGATTTCTTTCGAATTACGAACGGGCATTTGCGCGTATTAATATTTCCTGAATCAAGATGGACGACGTAATTTTAACAAGGCACAATATTACGTCCCCCTCCCCGCTCTTGTCTTAGCCCTTATTGGCACTCCCAACACTACAGCCAGTATATTGTTACATTGTTCATCATATAGAGGCAAATGTTGAAGATATATGCATCTACATAATTATTTGATATATATTGATTTTTTCCTAAGTCCTTTATATTTACGATGAAAACCACTTCATTTTTTGTTTAGTCTCTCTCTTGAGAGTCAGATGTTACCGGAATCTTGGAAAGGTACTTTTATTATACAAATTTTTAAATCTGGTGATCATACTGATTAGTATATAACGAGGTATCTCCATAAAATCAACCATTCCTAAACTTCTCAATTCATTAAATACATCCGTTACGTATGGAAGTACAGGCGAGCAACCATAGGATACACAACGTAGTTTTCAATCCGGCAGCTCTACTGTTACGAATCTTTTAACTTACAAGACACAGCCTTTAAAAATAATTTTCAGGTGATAATAGTATATAAAGGGTAAATTAAATGGTTTTGGTTTTGATGAAAATTTTCTAAACTGGCTATCTTTTCCCAGTGACAGCAAAGAGCGAAAATTAATGGTCTGGTATCACAAGACATTGACGTTATTTTAGGTGTAAAGTCTGTTCATAGATATAAGAAAGTGACTAACTGATACAAATTAAGGAAAACCCGGGCAAGCTGTAAGAATGAAACATGGCCGAACGGGTTAGTACTTTGCTTAGAATTTAATTATTTGGGGTTTGGTTAGGGAAGATACTAAACAATATTTATTTACTTATGTATGTATTTATGTTTAAATCTAAAATAAAATTACAAATTATTTTTATTACCTACTTAAATTACTTAAAATTATTCACATAATATATTAGTATCACTATCGCTATCATCGCTTTTTCTATATGTTTAACAGAATTTGCCCAACTTTGTGAAGGGATGTTAAAAACTTCGGGTTCCATAAGTTCGGGGACATTGGAGTTAACACGGGGAAAAACATTGTTACGGCGAACGGCAGATTTCAGTTGGTGCCAAACATGTTCAATGGGATTAAATATACAGTGGTAAGGTGGAAGCCTTAAAACTGTATGCCCTAGATTTTTGGCATAATTATCACAGACGTATTCCTTTTGTAGGTTCAAGCATTGTAGAACCTCAATTAATTGCTTTTTAGTATAATCTTCGTGAAAATAAATGTCGTTATTATACATGTAGTTTTGGATCGAAAAATCTTTAATATTTTTCGCAGACAGAGAAGGTCCATTTGGAATCCAACCATCTTTAGACCCAGCGTGCAAAATAGTTATTCTTTTACCTGTTTTTGATGGTGCGTTTGTTTTACACTTATCAGTTGAGTCAACACAACCCTTTTCCGGGGTATCATAAGTGTCGAACCAGATTTCATCCAAGTAAATAATTGGCCTTTGTTGTTCTCTGTAAATCCTAATTTTTTCTAGATATTCCAGTCGCCATTTCCGAATTTTAAAAGATTCCATTGAAACTTGCCTTTTGTCAATTTTTTTAAATCTAAAACCCATGTGTTGAATACACTTCCATAAGGTAGTTCTGCCACATTTAACACCGGTTTCATCTTTTTCAAGCCTCCTAATTAAGATATCTAATCTCGTATAACTGGTAAATTTTACACCGTATTATATCTTGATAGAGTTGATGTTGGAATTTTCGTTAATGTGTCCGTTTCTTCTAAACATGCTTGCTTGCTGGCACCACGTTCAATGAGAGCCAAATAAACATTGTTTATAAGTTCCTTAGTCTCAATAGAATAGTATTTTCTACATTTGGGCGGGAGCATCTCCTGAGATACACTAGACTCGCACATATTTTGCATAATTCGCACACGATTCAACACACGCTGTATTACACACGAAATAAGAATGATTACTAATAAACTTCAACTAAGTAGTATACCAAACCAAAGAATATTAAACACAGGTTGGTATAAAATTATTTTCTATTACGGACCACAATTTTACCTGAATTTAAATTCCGAAACTTTAGGTAATAATCTTCTTGCATTGTACGTTAATGACCACCCTTGGATAATCCCATTCAAAAGCAATTGGTCACTTTCTTATATCTATGAACAGGCCATACCCTCAAGACTCACATATCGGTCTTGTTCATGTCAGATTGTCTAACTGTCCAGCCCGATATAAATTATAAATAAAGTTTGAATAACTTGGATTGGGATTTACGACCGTCGAGAGTGTCCCTTCTTGCCTTGTCAACGTTCGGGCGATCTTACCTGGTCGAAATCTCTGTCCTTAGAGAAGAACATGTTCTTGTAGACGTTGGCTTTATCGTCCGCGTTGCCGCTGCTAGACAGTACAGCTTTCGCTAGGAGCGTTTTGTAAAACTGAGAGGGCAACAGTAGCTGGTTGTTGTTGTAGCTGTCTAGCTTATTGACGAAATCGTTGTATTTGAGGGCCGGCTTGTACAAGTTCAGCCCACCCGAGGGTGTTTCGACGGTAGCGCAGGAGTCGCTAGAGTCGGAACTGTCCGCGGTTAGTGCCGCTTCCGGAATTGGCCTGATGGTGGTCATCCTGGACGCGAAGAGTTGCTTGAACATCGAGAGCGCTCGCGGGCGACGCGTGTGATTTCTTTCGGTTCGGTTCTTTTTACAGGAGTAACAAAATATATATATATATTTATTATTTTTAGTTGTTTTGCTTAGTAGTAGGAACTCTGAGGCTGCGAGGAACTATCGGGTCACAGTATTCGGTTTGGGTGGCTGTCTCAACCCATCTACACTACGATTCAGTCCGCGTTTGAAAAGAACCGTTCGGCGGCGTTACTGCACAATGACGTATTACCTACGTTCTACAAGAACGCGAGGATTTAAATTAAAACTTGAAAAAGCAAAGTAGGGAAGTCATCTTCGGGGATGTGTATGTATGTACTGTGCAACCCTGTGCACGCCTGCACATATCTTAAGAAACAATAAAAATGCCCTTTTCAACTTTCGAAAGTTACAGGGTTGCAGCTGAAAACGGCTATATTTATGTATCAAATTCATTGGCGTGCATAAAAAATCAATTATGTCGACAGCATTAGCTTAAATATAGTTATAGCTAAATATTTCGAGAAAAGTTATATAAAAATAGGTCCGGAAAGTTGAAGAACCCTATTCTAAAAGTCAAGATATCCTTTCCATTTGTGTAGGTATCTACAGTCATGATTTTTCCCAAAGCCAAGGAACCTAATTCTAAATATAATATTTTAACATATTTTTGAAACTCCAGTGAAAAAGTCTCCGACCAACTTCTTGAGTAAACATAATCCCAGCCTAACAGTTCTTTAGAAAAATTATTTAAAACTAATAAAAATCCAAAAACTTTCTTGCAAATAATTGTCCCAAAACGCATATAGGCCGATCAATCAATGGAAACTTTGATTCCCGCTATGCAATTCATTTAAGAGAATCTATTCATAGTTTCAATCAAGATTCTCAAATTACTTGATTACTTCAAGCTTTGGAAATTAACAAATTAAAAGTGGCGAGAATGCGACACTCTATAAACGAAATCCTGAAGAATGTACGAGAAATGGATCCACCACTACACTCCTCAAAATAAAAAACAACAACAAAAAAATACAGCAATCGATGAAGCGGCTTCAAAGAATGCAAGATGCAAGGAGAATTATTTTTATTCATTACCTACAGAAACGACGACGCACATTCATCAATGGAATTGCTTCTTCATCCATCTCATTCGCCAGCCCAGCGAATTCCGTTCCTTATCCTCAAAAATTGGATTACAAAAACTATATAATGAAATTACCTATATAAACAATGTATTAGCTTTTCTGGGGACTATGTTTAATAAGATATCACCATTGTTTCTAATTATAATATTCTAAATATAATATATTAATATATTTCAGAAGCTCCAGTGAAGAAGTGTTTAACTTCTTCAGTAAACATAATT